CACATGCAGTGGTTTAGCGATTCGATTCAAAATGGCCGACTGGCAGCCATCTTGTTTTTTGAAAATGTTGTATTTTGGACATGCTTTGTCAGTTTTCATTCAAACTTAGTACATAGATTATACATGTTAAGATACATGTCCATGATGATTTATTTCACAATTGGATCAAAGATGGCCGACTGGCAGCCATCTTGTTTGTGAAATTGTCGTTTTTTGGACATGCTTTGTCAGTTTTCATTCAAATTTAGTACATAGATCATATGTGTTAGGATACATGTCCCCGGCCGTCCGTGAGTTCCTGAGTCTGTCCATCCGTCCGTCTGTGTGTCCGTCCGTCTATGCGTCAGTCTGTTCAGAGTCATATTTCAGAATCCTGTGGACCGATTCTGTTCATTGTTTGCATGTGTCTAGTACCTTATGTGGGACATATGCACATGCAGTGGTTTAGCAATTCGATTCAAAATGGCCGACTGGCAGCCATCTTGTTTTTTTGAAAATGTTGTATTTTGGACATGCTTTATCAGTTGTCATTCAAACTTGGTACATAGATTATACATGTTAGGATACATGTCCATGACGATTTATTTCGCAATTGGATTAAAGATGGTCAACTGGCAGTCATCTTGTTTTGGTTTTTTTAAGAGGTATCTTGGACGTGCTCTGTCAGTTTTCATTCAAATTTGGCACATACATGTACTTTATACATGTTAGGATGCATGTCCATGACAATTTGTTTCAAAATCAAGGATGGCCGATTGACAGCCACCCGACTTTTTGGCCTTACTACTATATTTCCACAATTTATGTACCATTTTCATTCGTATTTGGCACATACATCATACATATCAGTGTGTTTCATAATCAGATCAAAGATGGTTGAATAACGGCTGTTTTTATTTTTGGCCATATTATTACTACATGGAACACGTGTTTTACAATCTGTTGTATATGCCACTTGGAACTCAAGTTTCAAGGACATGCTCGCGACAACCCCTCAGCTTTAATGCGACGAGCACAAAGAGAACTTTCAAAAATTTAACGGGGACTGTGTCATTTTCAATGACTTGTTCGTTCAGAACACCACACTATACAAAAAAAAAACATAATTTTAGTACGGAAATTGGGTCATCATGGGGTCAAATGGTGGCGTTCGCTGGTACAAACTATAGTTACAATATGTCATTTATTTTTAATTTTGACTTTTATCACACTTACATTTGAGTAATTTCACACCCTATTTTGTGGAGGCGTTAGTATTCACTTCATTTTTCATTGCTGCCAAATTTTTGACCATTTCTTCAGAAAATTCTGGGAATCTGTTAATCTAGCTTGTTATTACCGCCGGCGTTCTGCTGCTCCCATTCAATTGTAGCTTGAAGAAGTATTTCATCAGTAGCGTCAATTTGATCCAGCTGGTTCCATTTGAAATTAAGATCAAAATTGATCTGAGGCTCGTCGTCTGACATAATTACTATGTTCTGAAAATGCTGCTTGTGACTTGCAGACAACAATATTTATTATATTTCAATCTAGTTTATTCCAGTTTTTGTTTTATTAATAATTCATCAAACAGGACCTGAGTCGTATATTGCCAGATATAAACCCTGGCTTCAGCCAATTAGATGGCTAGATTCACACTGGTCATATTATAATGACAGTTCAGCGACTTCATGGTGAATGCAGCTCGGAAGAGATTTACTGATAATGTAGTGCGATCTTTTGGCTTTGATTTCCGTGGGAAAACGACATGATTTTTTTTTAAATCAAGAAATTAGTTGAAAAAGAATTTAACAGTTTTAGGGTGATAACAGCACATTGTCAAAAACTTGCGAAACACGTATTCGTCACTGCATAAGGAGTATTGACAAAGCTTGCCGCAAGAACAAAAGCAGTTTCACTGCGTGTCGGACTTCTTATCACTGCTGAACAATAAAGAGGTGTGAATATTTTTAGGCATGTTGTCGAAACAAATGAATAGGATTAGGAACAATGCTGTTTTCGACCAGCTGGTTGAAACAAAGTCAGTCACGGTCTTGCTGAATTGGGGGTGCGGTTAGTAATAAGTACTTTTCCTGTTTTCAATTTTTGTTGAGAACTCTTTTTAACACTGAAGCCAAAATCGGGGGTGCAGTTACTATTACATATGCGGTTTATATTAGGATTTTAATGGTAATACTTATTTACTATTCTACATTAATGTGAGTTATTGTTTTGAAAAGTGCTGTAAAATAAGTATGTGGAAGTGCAAATGTCACATATTTATCATATCATATAGGATGTAGGACAATGAGGGCGCCATCACAGAAGGCCAGTAAAATCCTTCAACACACAGCATTAAACATACAATATTTTCCCAAAGATGGCTTTACAAATTTACGTCAACCGTCAACCAAAAATAAAAAAATGTTTTCCCACCACACACCATCTGTCCAGTCTGGAAAACATGTGAATTCTTATCAATGCAATATTTTTTAGTCCGCAGTCCGAAAACGGGGACTTATGTTTTGACCTCTGTGCGTGTGTGCGAGTGTGCGAGTGTGCGTGCATCTGTGCGTGCGTCCGGACCTGTATCTTAGAAATGCCTGGACCAATCACAATCAAACTTCACACATACATCATACATGATATTATGCATATGCACGTCAATTTGTTTCACGATCTGATTCAAGATGGCCGAATGGTGGCCATTTTTGTGCTAAAAATCAAAATCAAGCATTTCTTGGCTGTTTACAGATGGATTTTGTTCAAACTTGGTATATACATTATACATTATAGAACCTTGATGCACATCATTTTGTTTTACCATCTGATTCAAGATAGCCGAATGGCGGCCATTTTTGTGCTAAAAAATCCTAAAAAATCAAGCATTTCTCAGCTGTTTACAGATGTATTTTGTTCAAACTTGTTACATATATTAGACATTACAGGTTCCTGATGCACATCATCTATTTTTGACTCCCATGTGCGAAGCACATAATGGGAGTCTTTGCAGTTAGTGTGTGTGTGTGTGTGTGTGTGTGTGTGTGTGTGTGTGTCCGACTGTTCCACTGCTATCTCAAGAACCATACTTCGTTTTTTTATGAAACTTGGTGCATAGATGCTCTGGGCCAATGCGCAGATTTAATTAGGTTTTGGTAAAAATCCGTGCATATTAATTACCTAATTTGCATGATAATTAGCTAATTTTTAGCTGTTCTATGACTGTTCCACTGATTTTTGAAGAACCACTCATTGGATTTTGATGAAACTTGGTACATATATGCTCTGAACTAATGCTAGGTTTTGATTAGTTTTTGGTAATAATCCGTGGATACTAATTACCTAATTTGCATAATGATTAGTCAATTTTTGGTTTTTACACTGATATCTCAAGTACTAATCATCACATTTCAATGAAACTTGGTACATATATGTCATATGACACTGCACAGACCTGATAGTCTTTATGGTAATATCAGTACATATTAATTACCTAATTTGCATAATTAATAAATTTTCAGCATTTGATATAAGAAGTGAGCATTACATTTCAATGAAACTTGGTACTTATATACTCAAGGACTATGCAGAGATTGATTGTTTCCGATAAATATTTGTGCATATTAATCACCTAATTTGCATAGTTAGTTAATTTTCAGCTTTTCCACGGGTATCTCAAGTACGCATTTCAATGAAACTTGGTACATAGATCCTTTAGGACTATGCAGAGACCTGATTAGTTTTAGGGTAAATAATTGTGCATATTAATTACCTAATTTGCATAATTAATTTTCAGCTTTTCTACTGATATCTAAAGTACTAATCATCACATTTCAATGAATCTAGAATTATGCAGAGACCCAATTAGTTTTCGGTAAATGTTTGTGCATAGTAATCACCTAATTTGCATAATTAACCAATTTCCAACTTTCACACTGATATCTCAGTACTAAACATCACATATTAATGAATGTTTGTACATGGATGCTGTAGACAATAGACAGACCTGGATAATTGTGGGTTAAAATCTGTACATATTAATTACCTAATTTGCATAATTAACCAAGCATTCACATTGATATCTAAAATACTAATTATTCCATTTCAATGAAACTTAGT